CTCTCTCTCTCTCTCTCTCTCTCTCTCTCTCTCTCTCTCTCTCTCTCTCTCTCTCTCTCTCTCTCTCTCTCTCTCTCTCTCTCTCTCTTTCTCTCTCCCCCCTAGATATTCATCAACCTAAGCAGCCCAACTCCTACTCCCCTTCAAAAACTCATCAAACCACGCAACAGCCTGCAAAAACGCCGCTTCCTTCGCAAACTTAACCGGAGCCTTACTCGTATCCGCCCTCACAGCAAATCCATGCTCAACATCCGAATACAGCGAAATCTGATACGGAATCTCCATATCCTTCAAAATATCCTCCGTCTCCCTCCTCTTCTCCGCCGGAAAAATCTGATCCGTTTCCGCCGCCGCAATACTAAACGGACCCGTCAACGCCTTAATTTCCTCCGCATCCACAAACGACGGATGAGCCACATATCCCACATCAATCCCCTGATCTTTCGCCATGTATCGCGCGACATATTTGGCTCCAAAACAATATCCGACCGACCCGAGTTTTTTGACGCCGAAATCGGCTTTGAGCGCTTTAATCACTTTGGCCACGATCGGGTCGACTTGCTTGGTGGTGTGGCCTTTACTGGGACCGGAGGTGGCGAGCCATTTCATTATGTCAAAGTCATCGGGCCGGTTGAGGGGCATGGGGTCGCCTTCGAAGAGATCGGGCATGACGACGAAGTAGCCATTGGCGGCGAATTGGTCGGCGATGAGTTGGGCGTTGATGAAGTCGTGGCCGATGACGTCGGTGAGGATGAGAATGGCTGTGTCGGTTTGTCGGGATTCGGGGTAGGCGAGATAGGTGTCGACTGGAGGAGATGGAAGAGAGAAGATGTATGTCAGTGTGGGAATCTGGTTATAGGTACATGTAGGTATGCTGCTTACCACCGGAAATGTCCTTTTTCGAACCGGTAGCTTTGCCTTCGTGCTTGACGCCAATGGTGCAGCACTTTCCTGGTGGATTGGAAGCCATTGTGTATGGTACAGTAGGTACTAGCTGTGTTGGTGAAGTGAAGTGAAAGTGAAGAAGTTGGGAGGAGGACGAGAGAGACAGGGAGCTGGAGGTGCTTACATTCTTATAAGCTACTAACCTACCTAGGAGGCTAGGAGGCAATGATACCTTATTTGACTATACGCAAAACAGAAAGCAGAAGCAGATAACCCCCAAGTGAAGATGCCCCGATTACAGGTTAGGTACATGAAAAAGGTAAGGCGGATGATGGATCTGATTGTCTTTCGTCATTTCTTGTCCCTTTTGCCCCACCTTCAGCTGCCGGTACCGGTGCCCCTCTTATACTCACTAAGGCAAGGTACTTAGCCGGGACATATCCGAATCGTATCCGTCCATTGTAGATATATCGGCATTACACGTCTATAGACTCTATACATAGGTAAGGAGGTAAGGTAGGTAAATAACAATTCCCCCCGGGTATCAAAAAACTCCTGCTGCTACTTCTCACTTCTCCTGACAATAATGGACGAGAGCTCTAATCAGTCGTGCTCGATCTTCCTTGGAATCATACACGTCGCCATGATCATATCCCTCCCACCAAATCGTCTCCAGCCCCTGACCCTTCCATGTCTCACTCCCGACACCTCGATGTAGTTCCCGTTCCCGTTTCTCCAATCCCCCAGATCCATCAACCTGTTTACTACACGTACCTGTACCCGTACCCGTACTCTCCAAATAAGCCCTCACAGCCTTGGCACTCACAATAAGATCCGCCGAAGAAATCGAAGCAGTAACACGCAAACCATACCTCTCAATCAAACCATCAACCCGATCCCTCCACAAAATATTCTCTGTCCAAAAAAAATGTCTTCCGAGCGTATGTGCGATTTGCGGATCCTTGGACGCAAAATACCACAACAACCATTCATTCGCTCGCACGGGTTTGCGACACGTGAAATTGTAGGCTACGTCGGGCATGTGGAGCATAAAGGAGACTGGGTCCACGAGGAGAGTTGCAGAGACTCGTGGGGAGAGGTGGTCGTCGTTGAGGATGTTGGCGCTGAGAATTGTGCCGTAGGAGTGCGCGCCGAGTACGAAGTGGGAATTAGGTCCGAAATGGTGGTTGATGATGGTGGTGAGTTGAGCGAGAAAATCGGCTCGGCGAGGAATGGATTCTGTGAGACGGGAGGAAATCTGTAAGATTTCGATTGCGAGAATTCCAACCTGGTCGGAGGAGCTACGTCCATGGTTTAATTCGTGGTCGAGCTCTGAGAGGAATTGCACTGAAGGGAGAAGTCCAATTCCAATACCGTGAATGTATAGCACAGGAAGACGTGTGTGAGAGTGATGCTCACGTAGAAAGTAAGATATACTCGGTGCGACAGATGTGCTGCGCGTAAAAAATGCCGCAGGACGTGGCGGAAACACTGCCGCCGCCGTTTTCCACAACGAACGGCGATGATATGTGAAGCCTTTTGCTTGCAAAAGCACTTGTGATAGAGTATCCGCCAGCATGATAAGTGTATACCATAGCAGACTTCTCGCCTCAATTTCGACCGGATCCAGCGTCAATCGGAGACTCTTCGCCTTTCCCGGCCCTGGCAGAAAGGGCTGCGGCATCATCACCGACATCTTGTCAATATACTGTTCAATCTCCGCCGCATCCGCATTTGCATCACCATCCTCTTTCTCCCCCACAACCCGCGCCCGTCCATCCCAAAAACTCCAATTCAAAAACCTCTTCACCTCCTCCCGTCCAACATCCTCAGCTTTCGCACCTCGAAACCAACCCCTCAAAAAACCCTCCGGATCAAGAATTTCCCTCTGACATTTCCGAAAAAGATTCTCTCGTTCGCCTCTCGTGCGCAAAGGAGGATGCAAAGCTTCTCTTTGTACAAAATTTTTATACCAGAGACAGAAAAAGAAGAGATAAAAAATCGCTTCGGCCAAACATACTCTCCACAACCATCCTCTCTCCCGCCATAGCAGAAGATATCTGCTGCTGCTGCTGCTGCTTTCGATCCCGAGATTACATGCAGGCCAATAGCTCGCGAGGAGAGTCCATGTAATGTATCCTACGCAGAGCGGAGCATAGGACTGGAAGAAGACGATGATGGTACGGATGAGGATGCGGTTCGTGGGAGTGTCGGAAATCATCTTTTTTTTTTTCTTTTGGCAAAATGGCGCCCTCCTCCCGAGTCCTCAGCCTCCAGGGAAACCCCGCGCGCGGTCTGTAGGTGTGAACGGATGCGAGAAAGGCATGTCGGAGGAACTGTTTGGGGGGGGGGGGATCAAGATGATGATCAACTTATCACGAATTCACGATCCGGGTTAATGACACTGTAATTTTACTCTAACGGACGACTGTGAGGTACGGATCAACCAATCATGCCTCTCTGCCAAGGGGGTGTCGGAGACGCTAGTATTCGGCATGTGACAGAGCTACCACTGCCTTACCCTACCTCCCACCGTTACCATGCACCAACTGTCACCAAGGTACCCTATGGTAGCACAAGAAACGTGGTACGTGGTGCAGCAAAGAAATATCAACAACAACATAGAGCTCAAGTCGAGTGGAAAGCTGCTGTACATGCACATCGGGCAAATCTGCCCGTCACCAAGTCAAGCGGGAGTAGCGATGCATGCGCTGCATTTCTCGTAGAACGAGGCAGTCGTTCTGGTACACGTTTCAATAGGTTCCTTACTCAGTCTGATGTCTAATCTGCCTACGCTCTGTCATGTACAGAAGCGCGGATGGGTCAGCCAGCGATGCGCTTGAAAGCCCATGTCTGTTGCTGTCATAGTCCGTGCCAATATGACCAATGCATGAGACGAAGCCGTTGCCTCATCAAAGATCCCATAGCACTTTGTTTCTCGCGCTGATTCCCAATATTAGTCGCGACGACACTCAATCGTCATCAAAGTCAATCAAGTTGACTTCTTCCGACAAATCCTTCTTCGGCTCCTTGGGCGCCTGTAGTCCCGCTGGTCGATAGGTTTCCGCCCACTTAAACCGCTTGCCATCACCGCCACCCATTGGAACACCGGCAGGACTGTCGGACCTGTCTGCACCGCCATCAGACCTATACATTGGCCTGTGCTCAGCCTGAGTGATGTACGAAGGGGTGATGGTGGAGGCACTATCTGGACCAAGAGAGAGTCTGTCAACATCGGCGTCGATGCTGAAAAGGCTTCCCGAAGAACTGATTTTAACGAGATCTTCGGCGTGGCCTGGTCGCTGCGAATGAGGAACGTAAGACGCAATGGCCTGGTGGTGCTGCTCTTGGGCTGACGAAGCGTAAGAGCGCCAGGAACTGTTCTCCGAGCTGCACGTCTCTCGAGAAGCGGGCTTTGACAAGGTTGCTGGTGCGCCCTGGATAGCAGCAGTCAATTTCGAATCGACGCTCCCAACAGGCCTGCCTCTGCACTTGGTGCAATTGACATCCTCGTGATCCATGGGGTGGCACAGCAAGGTGCAATCGTGACCACACGGGAGCTGGGCTTGGCACACCTGCTTACAGCCGCCATGGAGAGTCCACTCATCTGGATGGTGAATCTGGACTTCGTTGCCATGATTCTTGCAGCGTACTGTGAAGAAGGCATTGAAACGCTGACGGTGCACCAATTCCATGTCATCCATCTCCTTCACCTCCTTGCCAGCCATGATGTTCATAACTGTGGTCCAGGTCTTGCTCTTCCCATTGCGGGACTTCACTATCTTAGCGATACCTTCACTGTCAACGACAGTCTTCTTCGTCCTCTTGGAGTACCCACTTTCGATCTTGTGCAGCAACAGGGCATTGCCGAAGATGTAGAAGCCGCATTGCGCACGAGAAAGGGCAACGCAGACACGATTCTCGACGGAGAGGAAGCCCATTTGCCCATGGTCGTTGGAACGTGCCAAGCTGAGAATGACTACTTTATTTTCCTCGCCTTGGTAAGAATCCACAGTCACGACTGTGAATCTGCAATCCCGGAGAACAATGCGGCTCCGAAGCTCCTGCAGAAGCTTCTTGCGTTGACCATTGTAGAATGTAAGGATCGTGATGTCTTGGGGCTGAACTCCATTGTAGCTCAGGTACTCAACGAATCCGGCAATCATTTTCGCCTCGTCTTCGTTGTGACAAGACATCAGGTCGTCGCGGCCCTCGGTCCAGCTATGAGTGAACCAAAATGAATTCACGCCACCCATGCCAGGCACGTCAGGTCGGCATTCAGGATCAGTGACTGAGGGATGGTCCTTGATGAGATTGCCATAGATTGGGTGAAGGAGGCGGCGGATCTCGGGGATCATGCGGCGTTGCTTGCGTAGTGTGGACCACTCGACTTTGTTGTTGACCATGCGCTCGAACAGAGACACGTTCAGAAACCAAGGTTCGTTTTCGTGGGCGCTGACATGAGTATGAGGGCGCAACTGCTTATGGTCGCCGACAAGGATGAGGTGCTCAAGTGACGGCATGCAGGCAACGGTCACCGGAGCTTCAAGAGTTTCTGCTGCTTCTTCGATGAGGACGACTCTTGGCTGGAGGGCAGCGAGGAGCCCGCGATACTTGCTGAGACCTGTAGTCGTCATGCCGATGATCTTCTGTCTCTTCAAGATTGGTTCGTCCCTCTCGAATTGGCCGATTCTGCGCTTACGAGCCTCGACGTCGAACTTCTTTGCCAGATCTCGAAGAGCTGGCAGGATGTGCTGCTTGACGGCGGACTGTAGGTGGCGATACACGGCACCTCTGCTGGACTCTGGGATCTTCCACATATCCTGCTCTTGGAGCAATTCTTTGACCTTGTGGTCGACACCAGGAACTTTCCGGCAAGTGAAGTTGTCAGCCACGTCGAAGTAGGAGCCGCTCAGCTTTTCGAACTCCTCGTCGTCTTGAGCAGCATTCTCGGCCTCCTCTTCACGCAGACGCTCTTGTTCGAGGTCTGCCTCCTCGCGATCAAAGCCATGCTCGTTGTTGAGTTGCTTGGGATCAACATGGATCAGCTTGTCACCAAGCCACACCATAAATGGTGATTGAGCCTCGACCGGATTCGACTTCTTGCTTTGCACCCAGCGAGCCGCGCCGGCATCGAGCGAGTCAGCCTGAGCCTGCGTCAAAAGCTTGAAGTCTTCCAAAAGGCGATGATCGAGCGGCTTATGAGTAGGCAGGAGTGGCGCCAGGAGCAGCCGAACTTGCTTCTCCAGGCCCCTGATAACCTTGCGTGCCTTACCGTAGAGACCGCCCGCTGGCGGGTTCTCGGAAGTCGAAATGCGGACTTGGTACAGTGTGCGCTTTTTGACAATGTCTCTGTCCTTGCTGCGACCGCCAAGGCGTACGAAATCTGGCTCGAATGCTGCAATGTGGCGAAGGAACTGGTCAATGGCATGGTTGGTCTGACAAGCCACAATGATGGGGGGGTCGCCTTGCTTCCAATTATCCAGCATCACCCTCACGGCCTGGACTGACACGTGCGTCTTGCCAGTTCCTGGTGGACCTTGAATGATAGCCAGCTCCTTGGTGAGGATGTGTTGAAGTGCCGCCAGCTGTGACTCATCGAGTACGCTCTGGGCATCCAACGGCCAGCCATTGAGAACGTCCACATTCTCAAAAGACTGATTTGCAGTATTGTGCAGAACTTTCGAGAGGTCGAGGACTGGGCGATCCCGGACATACTTCGGAGGACCTACGGCCATCTTTGCGTCGAGAATGTGGTGACTCAGAGGAAAGGGTTCCCGCATCATGCGTTGTAGAGCCAGTAGCGTATGGCGATTGGCCTCGTACAGGCCACCCTTGTCCTCGACCATTAGCCACTCAATGGAAGGGTCGACCTCGAAATCTTCGGAACGGGCGAAGAAAATGTCAATTTCTGGCGGGTTCAGTTTCAGGTACTCAAGAGGACGTGCCGCGACGGTAGCAACGATAGCTGTCGACTGGAACTTGTCTTTAGCAGGAGTAAGCACCACCAAGCTGCCGGCGATTAATCTCTTGGACTGTTCCCATAGTATCACTTTACCAGCACGCCTCGTGCTGAAGGTGATCCTGTGAGCCAGGCCACGAGGAGATGCCGTGATGCCACAAATGTGCACCTGAGTTCGTGTCAGTATGGGTTGGGCAATCGAAGCCCTTGGTGACAGCAACCTTTTCATAAATGCCGAATTTTCCATCGAAAAAATCTTCGGTCTTATCGGGGTCCAGTCTTATGTTTGTGACCGCCTCCCGAAGGCCTCGCACCGAGTCCTCACGGTTGAGAAGATACTGGGCCGATAGATACTCCTCTTTGGACTCCCAGGCTCCTTTGACTCGGTTTGTGGGAAGCTCGACAACGTCTGGAGACGAGATGTCATCATCATACAGGTCGAGGACTTCCTCTGCGGTGGGAACTTCTGGCTTTGCGAGCCATCCACCGTCTGTGACGACAGGTTCGACATAATATTCGCTGACCTGGGCGTTGATCTTCGGCGGTAGGATCATGACCTGGGCGGAACCCCGTGGGCCGCCATCATCGCGGACAGGCTTCTTCGAGCGCGTGAAGCGCTCTTGGAGGTCTTCGTTCATGCTGACTGAGGGAGAGACAGGTCAGTCGCGTTCTGAAGCTGCTGTTGGTATGTGCGAGCTGGGAGAAGGTCCATTCGGAGAGGCCGAGATGTGGAGATTGTGGATGGTGCTGGAGGAAAATGAGGTGATGGCCGTTTGTTTGTGCAAACAGTATCTTGGGGCAGGCGCTGGGTTTGACATACTGCCCCAGCTCCGCAAAATCGTACTTCTTTGCTTGCACCTCGAATTGGTGTTCGATGGCGTGGTCAGCTGCGGGTCAGAGAGATTCTGTTTGCGATGTTTGGTGTGGGAGAAGTTCGCGAGGTTTGAAGAGGAGGGAGAATTTGGACAAGTTTGTGCGCCGGAAGGGCTGAAGTGGAGGCAAGCAGGCAGCCGCACCGCGTTTTGGTAAGGCAGCTTCACTTGACTCTCTCTGCATATCCATGGAGCATTGCATGAATTTCCCTATCGATGTAGCAGCCTCTCTCTCTCCCTCTGTTTCCCTCTCTTTCCCTCTCTCTCTCTCTCTCTCCTCTCTCTCTCC